TTTCTTTATTTATAAAATAAATTCCTTAAATGCTACAAACTTCAAAAGGAATTATGTATTTTATAACTTTTATACGTTTTTTAAAAGTGACAAATGGTTACCAATTTTATTCAAACTCACTTCAAGAAAGCTAAAGTTATTGAAAAATGGAAACCTAAACTAAAAGTGGTAAAACGTGGTGATAAGTATACTTACCACGGCCTTCAAAAGAGTTAAAGTTTCATTTTTAAAATAAGTATATTTTTAATTGAATCTTTTTTATTTTTTATTGCTTTACATATATGTATTAGAAAATAATTTCCATCTAATTTGATTGCATCACATTTACTCTTCATTTATGAATTTAAACATAGCCACGTGCACCATATCTTATTTTACCTTATTTAATTTATTATATTTTTACTTCATTTGGTAAAATTTTTCTGCTAAAACTCGCCAATTACTATTACAACAAAGCGATATTTCCAATAAAGAGACTTTCGACGAATCAGCATCCAGCTCAAACCTTTTCTCACTCGCCAAAATCTCAGATCAGATCGTTTCGCAAACTCTTCGCTCATTCATCCTCTGTAATTCTCACAATTTTTCATAATCATCTTAATTTAGTTTTTGGCTACTGAAACAAAAATAAAACTTAACCTTACAATACCTTAAAAACAGACAAATGAGCAGTATTAATACCCGTCCAATACTACTGACCGTAAACGTCAAATTTTTGACAACAAAAAAATCAAAAATTTTATAGGTTATTAAAAACTTAATAAATTTTAAAAGCTATGAATGCAGTTTTTCTTATTCTAATAAAGTTTTTAAAGTATTGAGTACTTGAATTATCAAAAATTTATCTCTCCGTCATTATAAGCTTGTTAAGAACAAACATATAATGAAGCGAAACATATAAGGAACGAGAAAAAAAATTATCTTAAAAGGAAAAGGCTGTAAAAGGGTGCTGCAGGTGTTAAAAACTCTTACGCCGGCTCAGGATAGTTGTAAACGAGAAGGCTAAGATGTAACAAGTGAGAATAAGCGTTGGAGATGCTGAATTAGTAGTTTATGACACATCAGCCTAATAATGATTTAAAACAAAGTTGTATTTTTCTAAATTATATATTTTTGAGGCTAATTAGAAAATTCAGTTCTTTTGCAAAGTGCCTTCCTCCCTTTGCAATGCGATTAGATCGCATCAGCGCAATAATGATCTGAAACGAAGTTGTATTTTTCTAAATTATATAGGTTGTAGGCTAATTAGAAAATCCAGCTCTTTGCAAACTGCCTACGTCCTTTTGCAATGCAATTATTAAGCTCACTGCATGTGCCGATCGAATAAGGTCGGCAGTTTCTGAAGAGCTGGCTTTTTTTCAATAAGTACCCTTCTCTCCATTATAAAGATCTTACTCCAAATATGGCGCCAAACATTACTCCAATTCGATTATTTCAATTAGATTTTACCCCCAAGACTACGGAAAGGAAGAAAAATCTAATATTAATAAATTCTTTAAAGTTAAAAAACATTTTATGAGTTAGCATTTACTAGATAATGTAATGCTTTTAATTATATTTTGCATTCATAATTGTTTCTCTACATTAATAATTTAAAGACTACACGTTTATGAAATTAGTTTATTTGAACCAGTTCATTTTTACATATTGAAACATTGGTTTTCATTTTATGGGTATCCATATCTATATGAAAAGAAATAACAAACGCAAAATTAGCAGTAAAAACGAGAATTAAAGTGTTTTTTTTAACTCAATTGATTACAATACTAAAAATTCTCTTTGAATGAGATAATATTTACCGTGTAACTTAGCTCATGTAAGTCATAATTCCATACCCTACAACCGCTACGAAGTTTTCGTAGTTAGTATGACAGGTATAGAAAAAGTTGTGATTTCTGGTTTTATAAATTTTATTTTAAAGAATTTCGAATACTTCGACGCATAAATAATTTAAACCACATGTATGACAAGACCGAGTAATCGGTACTATTTAGCACAAATTTGCAATCTTCTGAAACTTCTCCAATTTTTTCGACACAAACTTTCTAACTTCAAAAAGGATAGGAAACGTCTATCATGTCTATGTCAACTGCATATATCATGCATGCAAACTTTGAAGAAAAGAAAAATGTTTGTTCTACGGGGTAAAGAACTGCTAATTTAAAACTGATGTTTCATTAAAATTTAGCTAACACTTAAAAACACTTTCATAGAGCTAGCGAGCCCACCATACGTATGTTTAAATTATTTTAACGTTATGATAATCATAATAATTTTAAATCTCATACATTTAAACACAAATAAAGAGTCGATATCTACATTTTACATCCACATTAAATATAAAAATAAAGTTGTCCAGAAAATCTGGAAAGGTTAACAGGTATGATAGATGCTTTTTTTTTATTTAGTCCGAAATTTTATAATTCACATGTATTTAGTCTCTCTGTTTACAATATAACCAGGAGGTAAGGTGAGCTCATTTTCACTATTGAGTGCCCCCGTCGATGTTGTGGCAGGACTTGTGGTGACTTTGACCTGCTGAGAAGGCTTGTAGGCGGGATTCAGAGGCATGATTGGTGTGGTCAAACGGTCTTTCAGGATCATTGGTGACAAAGCTCGAGCTAGGATGGCAGAAGGGGGATCCTGACGTGTGGGGGGACGACTGTAGAACATAACGTTCACGTTTGGTTGAATGATTCCTGCTGTATCACGGGCTGAAATACAAGAAGGAAACGTTAGATTACGTCATAAGTGCATTAGAAAAACCATAAACAAAACGTTACCGGGTCTAATTCAAAATGAAATGCCACGGTCCCGATTGAAAATAGTATTTATTAATTTCAAAAGTACAACGTTTCAAAAAATTTCTAAATGGGCAATCCCATCACCTCCTACATCAGAAAGCCTCCACACGGTTTCTTATAAATAGTCAGCGCAGACAATTTAAAAAATGAACCAGTTGTGCGCATGAACCCAAATTCTACTTTAAAAGTAATTGAGAGAAATTTATTATATATATATATNACCAATCATATGCAGAAATCAAACAAATTTTTAGACTTTTATATTTTCCACCACTTCCTTCTTTCTTTTAGGTTTTCTATTAAATGGCTCTTTCGTGAACTGGTTTACCTTCATAGTGGTCTGATCGGACTACCTTTAAAAAACCGTGAGGAGGCTTTGAGTTATAGGAGACGTTGGCTATCTCCCGTGTCGATACATTGTTTTCAGCTAGTTTTCAGGCATCGGAGGATTCTTGGATTTCAGGCATCGAAGAATTTTTAATTGGCATTTTCTGGAATATCCTTTATATGTTTGGTTCAAGCCATTTTTGAACATTATCAGTTTTGATGTTTCTTCACAGAAATTGTCAAGCGTGGAAGCATAATATCTGTGCGTCCTTGTTAGAACTCAAAAAGGGTTGGGATTTCTCTGAGTTGGGAATCATTCTCTGAGTTTAGTGAACACTTCCATGTAGTTTCTGCTGTGCAATCTCGTAGTGATGTAAAAACAACGCCCATGAGCATAACCTTGATATTTGATTTATTCATTCTAGCTCACGTGGAGTGAGGAGGCGTCGTGGTGTGCTACTCGGGACTTAGCTTCTTTGCTTCAAGATCGTAATGAAATATCCAAATCTGTAGAAACATTGTTTAGAAAAATGAGGGAAATTTTGACACAAGTTCCTGGCACATTCCTACTAGGTGCGAGTTTTGACGTCCAGAAATACTTTAGACACTAGCTTTGAACATATTTTTCTCATTTTCTTATTGCTTGTAGAAACTTTGCAACTAGTTCTTTCAATAAAACTACTACTATAAACTAAACATTATAACTAAGTATTCAAACTACTGTCTAAATTCAACAATTAAGTCACACGCTTCACATTTTCGTTGGTGGTGTTCTTTGATGGCTTTTTAGAGTGAGCTTCATCATTGGCTTTTTCACTGACTTCAAAATATGCCTTATACCGCCGAAAGACTTGATTTTGATAAACCTAGAGCTCGTCTTTATGAAAGAAAAATTTCCACTGTGCAGTTGGCGAATTTTTCAGGAATAATTCATATAGCATGGGATTGCCTAAGACATGTGCGCGAATGTTTAGAAACTTCATGTAAAACAAAATTGCTCGCGCATCCTCAAATCGCGATTGCGTACAATCACATATGCCAATCGCATGCAATGAGTGCAAGCAAAACTTGATCATAATCACTTATTTTGTCGAGTACCGACTTGAATGTGAAATGAAAAATAAGTAATACATAATTTCCTATTATAACTCACCGGATCATTGGAGATGACTTAATAAACATGTCCCGCTATGGACTGATCATTAAGACACGGTTCCCAATAGAATATCGAAGTCAAGCAACACTGGCTGCTGCCAGTGTGCGGGTGGGTGACCACTCGGATCAGTCTGTGTAGGGACCTAGGGTGTGCGGTATTGGTCCTCGTTAAACTGTTCTAAAGTAAAGTGCTCGTCATCTCACTAAACATAGATGAAACTTAACAGTATTGAATAAATGTTATATACTTATAATAGTTACTTCGGAAAAATTAGCATATTTAGCTTTATTTCATGTGAGAAGAGAGCTTTCAAAAAAGCATTCAAAACCAGACTTACTAGTGAGTATGGCGGGTGAAAGTGTGAGCCAGATTCTTCCCAGAGTCTTTCCTGAATCACTCTTCCTGTTTTTGACGCATCGAATAAGGCAGAGAGTCAGGAGGGGTACAAAAGCAACACACATAAGCAAAAGGACGAACCTAATCATGTAACAGAAAGAAACAATACAATTTCAACACAAATTCAGTAACCAAAGAACATTTCAACTGTGACCCATAAGAGAATCATAAATGGTGATAAAGAGAATGATTAAGAGAACGATAAAAAAAAAATTATAAAGAAAACGACAAAGAAAATGATAAGGCGAACGATAAAATGAATGATAAGTTGAATGATAAAGATAATGAAAAATAAAACGATAAAAAGAATGATAAAGAGAACGATAAAGAGAATGATAAAAAGAATGATTAACAGAACGATAAAAAAATGATGAAGAGAATGATGAAAAAAATAATAAGGAGAACGATAAAGAAAACTATAAAGAGAATGACAAAGAGAACGTCTGAAATGAAGGCCATAGATTGTTATTAAAGTGATATTTTATCTAAGATTCTGCAGTTAATATTAAATTAATGATTATAATTATAAATATTATTAATAATAAATTATTAATAACAAATTAATTAATAACTATAAACATTAAATTACTTCATTAAACCGATTGTATTCAAATTTTTAATCCGGAATTAATTTTTGGCTGAGAGAGTCTCTTGAAAGTTAAAAACTTGATTATAGTTATACCAATAAAAGTAATTCAGCTTATCCTGTAAAAATGCCTCTATAGTCTTTAGTTTGACATCTTCTCAATGCAAAGGTTTTATTACATTAGTAGCACCCTCTAATAATTGACACTTGTGCGCACCTCTAATAATTGTGAAATAAACCGGACAGATTTTCTATAAAGCGTTATCCTTGACTAAAGAACCTGCTCATTTGTATTTTTAACCTTTTTAATAAATTTAAATTATTTATAAATAATGGTAAGCAAATTTATTTTAATAAAATATAAATACATTACTTTTGCATTTTTTTTTCAAAATTTTTTAGGGAGTTGTAATTGTTATTTACTTTTCTGCTTCGTACATGCACTCTTCTTTTGTACAGTACGCCAAATTAAAAACGTTACACCGTTGTAACTTTGGTCTAGTAATCAGATTTTAACGATCAGCAATCAAGTTTTTAAGTTGAAAAACTGGTTGTAAAATCATTTCATATTTAGCTAGCTTTTGGGAGGAGTAAAATAAGTTCTCATTATTTTTAATTATAAGTTATTCATCACTATATTTTTTTTTGTGGGTAAAAGCAAAATATCATATGTACATGTTACATCTGTTTTCTTTTTTTAAAAACTTATAGTCTTAAATATTTTAATCTTCTTAAATACAATTTTTATTGAAGTTATTTTCCGGCCAATCTTTACTATTTAAAAACAAAGTTGCGAATAAGCTACAAAAAAGTACCAAAAATTTAAAAAAAATGTGGTAGAAAATTTAGAGATGGATGCCTAAATCGCTTGTAATTTTACCACTTTAATTGTAATAAATCTATCTTAACGGTGCTTGTTGTAACCCTTTTAAATATATGTTCTAAGGAAGTTTGGCGAAAAGTATAACACTCTAAAAATAACATTAAAAGTGCGAAAATCTGAGCCGTTGCAAGGCTTAAACTATGTAAAGTGCCGTGGACTACAAAAAACTGATACTAAATAAAATACAATTATGAACTGGAGTATCAGTTCTTTATTGCAAAGAATCTCATTTAATATCAATTTTGTTTGTAAAAGTAAAATGCCACTAATGTTGTCTGTAAAACATTGATGATTCTGTTTATGATTCTTGCTTAAGGAATAACTTCTCATCTTCTGATTCGTGTGATCTGCTTAATCACCATATATGTAATTTGTCCATATATGTAAATAATGTCCATATATGCAATAATCACCATATATGTAAATAAATTTTGATCTGAAGATCGGAATTTTAAGTTCTACGATTGTTGTAAATTAAATGGTGGCAACTTAACCTTGAAACTCACAGAAGAATGTCGGGCATGCGCAAATAGGATATGGGAGTGATGAGGTGGCGCTGTTGTCGATGTGTAGAGTGCAAAAAACAGTCGATCTGCTTAGAAGGATAGTTGATGTGTGGCGTTAAAGTAAGGAGTTTCGTTTCCATCCCTCTAAAGCATGTTTTCAAAAGGCGATCAGTGGTCGTGGCTTAAAATCGAGGTTGCCCGTGGCAAAAATGCAACAGAATGCTATCGAGGATTAGTGGAAGCCTTTGGAGCAAATGCTTTACCATATAGGACAGTAGCACGATGGATTCAAGCATCTCGTCTTTTTTCGTCATTAAGCCTTTTCACAACATGCTTTAGAGCGATGGAAACGAAACTCCTCACTTTAACGCCACGCAACAACTACCCTTCTAAGCAAATCGACTGTTTTTTGCACTCTACACATCGACAACANAGTACACTTCCCAAAAAGGCTAACTGAGGAATTTGAACTTTAATTATTTTTTTCCAGAAGGGGAGATGGTGTGGCGACCGCCACCTATCGTTAAATACTTACACTGCGCTGAAACCGTTTACCAGTTGTCGCGTGCAATCATTATCTAGCCACGCGCTTGCTTTTTATAAAGAAAAACAATTATCGTTCTTTTTCTTGCCATTTTTTACAGATCTGTTATATTTAATAATAAAACTTGTTAAGTTTGTTTGTTATGTGAATTCGTGTTTATTGATAAGTTAATTCACCTTCTGATCCATACTTACTACTTACTACACGAATTTACAAATCTATCTTAACGGTGCTTGTTGTAACCCTTTTAAATATATGTTCTAAGGAAGTTTGGCGAAAAGTATAACACTCTAAAAATAACATAAGATGTGCGAAAATCTGAGTCGTTATAAGGTTTAAACTATGTAAAGTGCCGTGGACTACGAAAAACTGATAGTAAATAAGATACAATAACGAACTGGAGTATCATTTCTTTATTACAAAGAATCTCATTTAATATCAATTTTGTTTGTAAAAGTAAAATGTCACTAACGTTGTCTATAAAACATTGATGATTCTGTTTATGAATCTTACTGAAGGAATAACTTCACATCTTCTGATTCGTGTGTTCTGCTTAATCACCATATGCTTCGAAAATTTCACCTATCTTGTTCGTGTAATAGGGATGAAAACTTCCTCCTTTTATGACAAATAAAGGTATGTGTCTCAATAAAAAATACGTTTTTAAGTAAAATGGAAATTATTTCACCATAGTTGATTCAGATACATAAAGTGCGCTAAAAATAACTGATTACACCAAATAATTTTTGATCTAAAGATCGGAATTTCGCGGTCTATGACTGAATCTTAATGGTTCGAGAAGGTGACCTTAAATATGCTAATTAGTTGAGGTCACCCTCTCAAACGTTTAAGTCCTAGAACGTGAAGATCGGATTATTAGATCAACAGTTATTTAGGGTAGCCCTTTTTTTTCTTTTTGCACACTGTACAGAATGAATATCCTATCAATAGTTCAAAAAAATGAGCAGTGGTGGCTCACGGTATAGAGCGCTCACTTTCCAACGTGGTGACCCAGGTTCGATTCTTGCACCGACCACAATGCTGACTTAAAATATCCACAGTGGTAGATGGATCATGGGTTAGAGTCCCCTTGCCGTCGATCTAACCGTGGGAGGTTTTCGTGGGTTTCCTCATCATGTAATGCAAATGCGGGTTGGTTGCATCAAAAACCTCCACGAAGGTAAATTTCTCCCGATACTTGATCCAAGAGTTCCCTTGTCTTCTGGATTGAATTCAAAATTACATGGCTACGGAGTTAAGCATTAGCAGTCGTAAAACCAAAGAATTGAGTCGGCTGTTCAACAACGGTTATAAAATAAAATAAAATAGTTCAAAATCTAATACTATTTTTTTCATCTTATGATGATACAGTATGCATAAATATGATTTCCATGTGTTTGTAAGCGATGGTAAGAAACTAAATATAGATTTAGGAATCACTTTGTATTCAAAAAATAGATTTAAATTATATAGTATTGCGTAGAATCAAAACATACCAGAACCACCAAGCAGTGAAAACGTAAGCCAGGGCCCTTCAGCTTTTAGTGTGTAATATCCTAGCCAATCAGGAGTCATCTAAAAAGAAAAACAGAGGAATCAGGATTCATAACAAAACGACTTTTTATTTAAAAATAACAATAAGTGTTTCAAAAATATCATTAATTTTTCACAGGTGTTAGTCCGATATTTTTCCATACCCTCCAACTTATGAAGATTTTGAAAATAATTCTTTCTAGTGGTAGCGAACCAAAGTAGAAATTTTTAAAGCAAATGGATCTCTCATAAAACTTTTATCAGAACTTAAGAATCTAGCCATATGGCCTGCACTTTTATAAGTAATAGTGGACAAGTTACGCTAAAATTAAATTTTTTAAAATATTAAGACATTAATTTTGCTACCGTCTGAAAAGAAGATTTCTGAAACTACGGAAATTCCGTAGCAGTTGGAGGGTATGTTTTTCATATTTTAGATTCCGTCATTGAAAACTGCTAAAAGAAAATTACAAAAGTTAGTATACACATTCATTGTATTCTTAGAGAGAATAAGGTATTAACTTCCTAAAATTTTTCAGTGAAATTTTTGTTTTTCAAAATTAGTTTAATTTTATATCTTGCAATGAAAACTTTCAGAAATATTTTGTTTGTTTATTTATTTTTCAAAGTTTGTGCTGTCTGAGTTTTCTGACATTGATTCCTAACCTAACAATGACTACCTATACCAGGAATGTCATAGGAGACTAAAATTGTAAAAAATGATGACTAATGAACTAGTCATATTTAATATCTACTACGAGAGATTAAAATTCGAAACTTTGTCGAGCACATTTTTTTTTTCAATTTAATCTGTAAAATAACTTGATAGAATGTTTTGATTTTAAATATGAATAATTTGCAATGTAATTATGGTGACAATTACGATTGAATAATTATATTAATAAAAAGGAATTGAATTTTTACCACTTTTTATATTTTTTGTCACCTGTAGTAAACAAGGTTATCTTGTTTCAGCAAAATTAATTTCTAAAATTAAGAGTTTCTGCAGCCATATCCCGTTATTGCTTCGCATCCCCCTTAAAAGGCGATATTTTCTTAAGAAAATATGTCATATTGTTTTTAAAATATATATTTATCATAACTTTGTGCAATTTTTTGTCAATATGTTCATCGGAACGAAATGAAAGATTAAGTGGATTGAAAAAAAAAAAAACAATCAACTATACTTGTAAATATAGTTAACTTAGAAATAGAATGTGTTGCACTATAAGAGGCACTTTTACTTATTAAAAATATCTAACGTAACCTTATGTATATCATGTAACAGTTCAAATTGGAAACGATTTTCATCTTCTCTAGTCTTTTATTTTTTTAAAAAAATGTTGGTATAAATGATAAGATTGATTTGGCAACATCTAATCTTTTGCACTTTTTTTCTATTTTTCTAATTTCATCTAATAACATTTAATCTCAGCATTTTTTTCTAATACTTATGACAAGATTTTGTACAGCAAAGCAAAATATAATGCAAAGAAGAAAAAGGGAGAAGAAATTCGAGAAAAAAAACTTTATGAACAAACAAATATTGCACTTTCAGCGTACCAAATTTTAACTCCGTAGTTTGGATTCCTGTGACCTGTAGATCAGCCCGTATGGTATTTTTTATGTCAAGTTTAATTATTAATAATTCACGAACTAATTAACGAAGGCTCAATTTAGTTAAAACATCGGACATCCTGTTCATTTTTCTACACACATTTGTAATTTGAGTTTCAAAATCTTGTAATTTTTACGAAGCAAAACAATATGTAATGTAAAGTTGAACACTCAAAACAGCGATGGCGGCGGCCTCTATGATTTTATAATGTAGACATGTCGAGAGAAATATTTTATTTTATAACTAGCATTGAATAACCGACTCAATTTTTAGGTTTACGACAACTAATGTTCAACGGAGCAGCCTTGTAATTTTTAACCCAATCCAGAAGACAAGGGAGCTCCTGGTTAGAGTATTGTTAGAAATGATGATGGAACTAACCCGCATTTGCGTCACATGGTGAGGAAGACCACGCAAACCTGACATGGTTAGCCTAACGGCAAGGGGATTCTAACTCATGATCCGTCTACCACTGAGGATATTTCACGTCAGCACAGTGATTGGTGCAAACTGGATGTGGATTTCGTATCGAACAGTCACCGCTGAGATTCGAACCCGGTTCAGATCATTGGGAGGCGAGCACTCTATCCCCTGAGCCTGAGAGATATAATATAGTGAACACGATATTTGGTTTCGATATTTGGTGGTGGCTCTCAAATCTAAGTTAAGTAAGAGACGTAGACGAAAAAAAATTAATACTTCAACAAATTCGATGTGTGGTACGTGGCTATATTAAATTAACTTACATTAATTAACATTCTCACCTATGTGGAGAAACTTAGCTCAAATTTAACAAGTCATTTAGCTTGCAAACAATTGGCTGGAGTTAACGTCATAGGTCATATATGTGGGTATCTGTGATCTTTTTCTTCTTAAAGTACAATTACCCAATTGAAACTTTATTTCCTACTTTATAACAATTAGGAGATATTATGTTATAAATGAATATGCTTATAACATATTTTAATAATTATTTTCTTTGTCTTCCCTTATAGGTATGTATGTCTTTTTTAAACGAACGCATAATGAGTTTTGAACAAAGTGTGTAAGATTAGTAAAGTCATTTGGTGATAGTAAATTTAATTTTATACTAGCGGAAATTTCCTTTTAAGCAACCACTATATTGTTCAAAGATTTATTAGCCCTCAGTTCTCATGTTGATACACTTTCTTTTCAATATAGTTTACAGTCATGTTAATAATTGTATTGAAAGTTTGTTTAACATTAGTTACTACTATTAGATTTTTCTAAGACGGAACCCAGATTAAGCTTTCTGTGAAAAAACATTAACTTTTAGCTGAATAAGCTTTCTGTGGATTAGTTACTAACACATTATTTATTAGGGTATTTATTTACTAAATTAGATTATTTTTTTAAAATGTTTAATTTAAACACCATTTTTTTTTCTAGGGTGTGTTTAAAATTTTAACTATTTCTGGTAAAATTGAAAATTTAGGTAAAACTAATGTATTTACAAACTTTTTAATTCCAAACATTGATGGCATTTGAAATTTTTTAAGGGTTTTAATTTGGTAGAAATGTATAGAATGAACTTTCAGAATTTTATTTATGCCTCTCAGCTGAAATTTAATATTATTTCACAAACTACTAAAATATAAACCATATTCGATTAAATTAATTAAATAATTTTTCTGCTAAATATGTGATAATTCTTCGAATGCAGTCACATGTCAAAGAAACAACCTGTCTATTCGATAATTTTAATACAGTTCAGTTATTAAATTGTAAGATATACAATTTTTGGCATAATTTTAAAGTATTTAATTTTACATGTCATGTACAACTTTTCAAAATGTACCACGTATGGATTAAAAAAAGAAGAATTAAAAAGCACAAGTCGAAAACTTACCCGAATATTGTTTTTGCACGCTATCCCTTCTGCATGAGGGCCATCTTTTCCAGCAACAGTCTATAGATAGAAAATTAGCACACTTACATAGCATTCACACACTGAAAATTAGCACACTTTCATTGCATTCACACATAACCCATTTCTATTCACACAACAAATAGCACTGTCATCTTTAGTGCAACAGTTGTTAATAACAAAAAAAGTCACTAGCTTATAAAGTTACGACAACAGAAAGACACGTTTAAGGTTTGAAACTATCTAAAGTGTTGCTACGTGATATTTAATAAGGTATTAATATTTTCAAACCTCCTTTATTTACGAACGTAAAGAAGAAAAAAAAAAGCAACATTAATGCCAATGAGAAAAATAATATTTATCAAGTCAAAAAGAAATTTTTAATGTTTTTCCTTCACAGCCATAGTAACATTGATTATGTAAGCAACAGGAATCGATAAACGATGAAAAGGAAACTTCCCAAAACTGTAAATGAAGCGATGCATATTTTATTAAAGTCTTTTGAAAGACCTGAATTACAGGAGAAAATGAAAATGTGTTTGGATTGATTGATTGATTAATTAATTGATCCGCAAGAAAGTACTTTAAGATGAATTTTGATCGAAAAATAATGGCTCATATTGATTTTAAGATTTGTCTTTAAGCCATTTTGACTGAGTTAAAGATATTTATTACACATATTTTTATTATATATTTAGCGTGCTTGTATGGCAAAAGATGCATTATTTATTCCAAATTGACTATATGTCACGGAGAGAAGATATTTAAGATCCCATTTATTTATTTTTTCATAGTTTATGGTGCTTTACTTGACGCTGTTCAGTTGAAAGCAAAAGGCTCATTATTTATTAAGTGATACGTATAAACAGTTACGTAATTCCGGTAACAAATACTTGTATAGATATATCATTTTATCAATAGGAAGCTTTTGCACTTCTATGTTAGCTTCCGTACGCTGCCGTACGTACGATTCAAGCAACTGCGCATGCTCGCTTTAATTTTAGATGCAACGTAACTTTACGTTATGTTGGCGCTAATAAAGCTACAAGCACACTGTTTTTAGCTGTTAAATGTTGTTTTCTGCTGAAGCCCGCCTTTGAACTAAAAACATGGAAATGAAATGCGAAATTTGAAGAAATATATTGATTAAATTTAGAAATGAATCACGTGATATTACAACAATTGATTCACTCACTAAAAAATAATTTTATTGGTTTTTGATTAATATTATGGTTATCTAATTGCACTAGTTTCATAAGAAACTAATTATATTTTAGTTATTTTAAAATTAGACGCCCGGTGACTGAGTGGTAGTGCTTCGCGCTCCCGTGCCACAGGTCCTGGGTTTGATCCTCGAGTCGGGCAAGGTTGACTAATTTTCATCCCTTCAGTGGGTCGATAAATGAGTACCAAGCATGCTTGGTACACATTTATCTTGGCACACTGGGGATTTCGCTTTCGGCTGACCACCTAACATCTGGTTCTGCACCCCAGAGCCCAAAGGTCAAGAAAACTGAGATGGGCACAGTAGGCCTTGGCGAGGCTGTCACGCCTCTGAGTTTAGTTTATTTTAAAATTATAAATTATATTTATTTTAACTATACAATTTAGTTAAATGAAATTAAATAATCAATAAAAGTTTAATAATATTTTTTAAATATTTATTACTATTAATAATAATAATAACCTGCATTCCTTATCTGTGAATTTATCAAAATCTATAGCCTGCCAAATTTTTCTGCTCGCAAAAACTACAGTTTTATGTAGAACAAAGCATCTTGAACCGTATGCCACAGCATTAACACGTTGAATGCCACGCTAATTTTACATGGCTTGCCCGTCTGGCTAAATGTTAAATAACGACAAGCTAAATTTGCAAATATTAGACAGATTTTGTTAGTTTTTTAAAAGGTTTAGCATGACATATCTTTACTTTACTTTATTTAAAAACAGCTGGGCACCTGGGCCGCGCAGCGGCCCCTATCCCATTCATCATGAAACTACAAAAATGAGTTAAAAACATTTTGAATATAAGCAGTCGTTGTGGTAGCTTTACAATAATATTACCATGATTAGAGAAAATACAAACTTGAACAGAGATATTTAAAGTAATTGCCATGAAAAAATGTACAGAAAATATGACCTTGATTAGAAAACATTACAACTTGAACAGCGATATTTACATTAATTGCCATAAATATGTACAGAAAATTGAATATGAGCATGAATAAATGATGATTATATATATACAAAAGTCGTGATTCATAGGCGTGAAGGTTTTACATAAATTTTGTCAAGCCTTAGTGGCGCCATCTAGTATGATCAACTTTAATTTGAAAGGGCAGTATGCAGTATTTATTTTAATAATCTGTATGGAAAATTAGAGTTCTGAATAATAATAAGAGTTCAAATAGAAGTTCAAATCAAGTCAAAAAAGATGTTACTGTGCAAGAGTGGCTTCCCCCATAATCCTCTGAAGCAGTTGAAGCACTTCTTGATTTTTTAAAAGTTCTTGCAATTCTTTAATTATTGTAACCAGCCTTTGAGCAAGTCCTGTTATTGTTGGTGGTATGGCACGTGTTCCCCTCCTGCGGGGACGGGCTCTGCACCCCGTGTAGTTGGCTGTATGAGAGTCTCCGCAGTTACTGCACTTAGGTGGTGTATTTTCATCTTTTTGGCACTCGTATGATCGGTGTTTGGCGGCGCACTTAACACATCTTGATGGTGAATTACATGATCTTTGACTGTGTCCAAATTCTTGGCAGTTGTAACACTGGATTGGATTTTGCCCGCCTCGGAACCTTTCAATACTGACCGGGATACTTCGTATATTGGTGATAGAGAAAATTTGTCGATTACCATCTGTTTCTGTGAGAATTGTGAGAAAAAGTGGGAGGAGCCTTGCATGACATATCTGATAAAAGTGGTGAATTATATAAGAATTATATTCTTTAGAAAAGTGGTGGATGTACTAAATTAAATTTATTAAACCAAGAATCGCAATTAATAAACTACCACTTGAAAATATTTATTCGCTGTCCGGAGCAAGTTGGCATCTCCGTGTACATAAATAAAACAATTTTTTTGTGTTCTATATTACATTAATTTCCTCAAACCATTTTAGTAACGATAATAATATTAAAAAAATATAAAAATTTAATCGAATTATGTGTTTTTAATAATCTTGGCTTCGCTGGTCACCGGAGACCCCCGTCGAGCTACGAACAAACTCAGTGCCGGTCACCGGTGATCCCCATGGCATTCAACGTGTAAAAGAAATAGTCGTCGTCCATTGTAAATGTTTGTTTTAATTTAGTGGTCGTAGTTGAAATGATAATTTCCTTACATTAGCGTTTTCAACTTACGGATTTTTTCAAAATCTCATATTTTCACTTACGTAAGTTTGATATTTTTTCACGGGACGCATGCGTGTTTCACCAGAACTGACGCATGTACACTAGAAGGACTGAAGCTGGTATAGGGGATTTATCCCCTACAAAGCGTACAACAGTATGGTGATGATCAATTGGATTGTGATGATACGACTGTTGATCCTTTTGGTGGGCTTTCATGAGGTTAAGGGCTCGGACGGCTTCGCTAATGCACTCCTGACGTTCGATCTTATCTGATATGCCCATAGTATTTTTAGAAGTGTTGGTAAGTCAAATCTGGCACGATGCCACCTTCCGTGGTCTGGATTGGACCTCCGAGAACGGACAACATGGAACGCAAGTGAGTACTAAACGGGGTACGAACGGGCTGGACGGGGTACTAAAATAAAACAAAATAAACTGAAATTAAACTTTGTTGCAAATATTAGTATTTGTACGAGTATATCTTTTAATATGCTTATAAGTGAACGTAACCCATAGTTTTCACAACCACGCGTATGAAAGTCAAGATTTACACATTCTTATGCTTTATTCAGCGCTTCGCGCTGTTATGCCACATGTCCTTGGTTCAATCCTCGGGCTGCGGCAAGGTCGACTCAGCCTTTCATCCCTTCATTGGGTCAATAAAATGAGTACCAAGCATGCTTGGGAACTAAACACTGGGGGTTCCGCGTTGGGTTGACCACCCAATCGGAACATCTGCTCTTGCAGCCCGGAGCCCAAGGTCAAGAAAACTGAAATGAGCACAGTAGGCTTTGGCCCTCTATGGGCTGTCACGCCACTGAGTTTAGTTTAGTTATGCTTTATTCACCACAAAGTAAGAGTAAAATGGGCGGGGATTGTTTTTTTACCTATTTATTTACTTCCGAACAAGAACAGAAAGGTTTAAATTGCTTTCTATCTGTTATCAGAATGTAATATCGACGATGAACTACAAGTTAAACGCTATTTGAAAAGCAAACATCTACGCACACATTTTAAAATCTATTTATTTCAAAAACTTTCACGTCAGGGGAACGCAAAAACTTTAATATCTAAAAAAAAATATTGCAATTGGTTTTTCACTTGAATCGGCTTAAATCATAGTTTGCAATCTTAAGACGTGACTATGTTTAACTAAAACTCAATCAGACAATAAATAATACAATATTATGTACAAGCTCTCTATTTTTTCATTCATATGATGTAACAAATTTTTAATTCTTTTGTACAAAAGAATCAAGGGTCAATGACGGAAGATTTGTTTTACAGAATGGTTCAGCCAACCAATCTTCTCAAGTCAATCCACTCCATCAATCAGAAGTCGTTATTATAAATAAGCAAAAACAATTGAATTTAGACAATTGAATTAAACAATTGAATTCCTGATTACTTTAGTACTAGGAATTGACTACTCTATTAAGCTCTAAGCGAATAATAATTCCGTTTTAATGAATTTATTTTAATCCGTACTATACATTTGAGTTATTTCTACAGCTATTATCCTTAATATTTATTATAAGGCCATTAAGCATAATAATTTGTTGAATAAAATCACAACTATAAAAACATGGAAATAATAATAACAATAAAAAAAGATTTATACAAATTAAAATTGACATAATTTCATTCAAGGGCAAACAAGAAGTAATAATAAATTATACTATTATTATTGTTGATGTTGTTATTATTATTATTATATTAGATGATTTTGGAATAACCCACATAAAATTAAAGATCTTTTTCTTTTTTTTAAAAAAAATAGGCAATCACTTCCTTTTTAACTGTCACTACTATCTGAATGTTTGTTAATGACAAACAAGAAAAGTGTCTCTATGACATTAAAAACTCTACACTGACTAACAATAAACAAAAAGATTAGCATTAAAAGTTCATTATGCCGCTTGTCGTAAGATATTTTGTTCTTCGTGTCACTCATATCAGTGCAATGAAAAAAAGCGAATA